ATTTAGTAATTTAAACATTTTAATAATTTACAATCTGTTACAAAAATACAATAAGCAAATAATATTTCTTTTTTTTTTTTACAAAATATTTACATGGTTATATTATGAGGAGGGAGGTTGTCCAATAACAGAATTTAATCAGTTACATCAAAATTTAAAAAAAAATTATAATATACTAAATAATTTACAGTGAAAAGGGAAGATAATTCTAATTTGAAAATATAAGTTTGTATTGTCGCAGGATAGGTACTCCTTACATAGTACAAAAAATCTCAAAAATTTTGAAATATAGTCTGTAAGTACCAACTGTTATTATATTTGAAAAATTTTATTAATCAATTTACTATAAAATAAAAAACATGGTTATGAGCCTGCTAWGTGAATCATTTTTAAGTCAAAAATGTATTATTTTCTGTTAGGTATGTAGGCACTAAATATAACATTATTGTATAAGCCAGATAACTTCCTACACATTCAATAAATGATATCGTTTTCTAAAAACTTTAAATTTTAGATCTATAAGACAACTAAATAATAAAAATAGATCAATAGATAATATAATATATTATCTACTTATATTATAGACATGTCTAATATTATATTGTATATTTATATACTTACGATAAATATCAGCATTTATCAAATAATTCCAGTAGTCATACATTAGAAATTCATGTCAATCATTTCAGATTTATCCCAGCCTGTTTTAACAGAACAAAACTATTTACAAATTTTGATTTTAATTGATATATAAAACGAAAAAATTACACTGTACAAAAGTTATTTTGATTGTTTACACTAGAAACAATATATTTTTATTACTTTTAAAAATTACTTACCAGAATTTAATAATAAAAACAAGAAATATATATTTATATATATTATGTGTATATAAAAAATATGTTTAGTTAATAACAATTTAATACTTAAAAAACTAATAATATTAATAATCAGTAATCACTAATTACAAGTCAACTATTCGACGTCAACTCCTTCGCACTATATCTAACAGTCTGCGTGATAAATGATAATAGGTATTAATAATTGTAAATACAGTACGAATATTATTATCTAGACATTTCTGAGTCAGTGTAACCAACATAACGGCCTAAAAGTTATATTAACGTATCATCACAGATTATATAAAATAAATGTATATAATTATATATTTTTATATTATTACTTATATACATTTATATAATCTGTGCCTCTGTGGTATCATTGTATTTAATATGTATCACGAACTAAGATACAATTATATATATATGTACCTATTCTCAGTTCATAGTATTTATAATTTACTAAAAAAAAATAAAAGGCAGCTGTCCTATCAATTTAATTTCAATATTTACTTACCGAGTTGTCTTACTGAGCTTCAAAAACATAGTGGATTATTATTTTCATCTTAACAGCCAGCTGTTGACTGCTTATTAAAATATTACGGTAAATTACATATGAGTCATTATAATAGATGGTTTTATAGTATTTGAATTCATTGATATGATAATGTATTTGAAAAACAATCCTAAACGGAGATGGTTAAGAGTGTTAAGATATTTTATATTAAATTAATATTGTTATTATTACTACTGTAGCTGGTAGGTAATCTTTTTTCCGACATTGATTWAAAAAAAAATTTTTGATATCAAAAATATATACCTATTTATATACCTTATTATAATACCTATATATAACTCAACAAGAGTCAAAATATTTTGAAAATCTTATGGTGAATAAAAAATGCTCATATTCAAGTAAAAATGTAATTTATTAACGGTATTTTTTTTTTTTTTTATTAACAAAAAATTTACCCTCACCAGAAATAGACCATTAGGTTGCAATATTTGGGTTACATTGGGTTGTTATTTACATCAACAAATTTAGTATTTATACAGTGTTTATAAATTTTTTTGCAGTTCTGCCTCTGTGATAAGCGATGAACTGTTGAGGCCGAGTGACTCCGATAATAATGTTCTTGAAGGTTTGAGGCCTGATGTCTTGATTTGGAGTATAATCGACATTCGGTCATTATGTGTTTTATTAATAGATCAGTGCCGCATATTGGACTGGCCGGACTGGGGGATCATTTTTACTCATTATATGACAAGAGTGATTTGTGTGCGCCCGATCCGTAACCTAGTTAAGATAACTTCAAACTTTCTAGGAAGGTATATGTGAGATGTGGCCATATATGAACACATTTTATTTTATTTTTTGGAGTTTCGTGTGCACGGAATTYCAGTTTTCCTATCACAGATTGGTTCAATGGAATTGTATTATGAGTATTAAAATGTTGTTTGGTTACGAATTGAATTACTGATGCTAAAGAGTAAAGGGATAGTAGGTAGATAATTGCATATTTTGCTGTCTTATCAGCCATCTAATTTTCGATGATACCCGAGTGACCAGATATCCARCAAAATTGAACCGTGTTTCCTTTTCTTTTCCTATGTTGAAGCAAATTTTGTACCTGTTTGTTTATATCGTTAGTGTTGTGTGCATTTTTTATGTTGTTTATCGCACTGAGAAAATTTAATAAAATTGTTGGTTTTGTAATGCTTGAGCTAGTCTATAGCTAATTGTATAGGTACCTTTGAGAATTGCGAATGATTCCGCAGTGAAAATTGAAAGTACATTTGGCAGCTTATAATATAAGCTTTATGTCATTCCAGATTAAGGAAGCTCCGACTCCCGCTTGATTTTTTGAGACATCTGTGTATATTTTTTCTCCCTGTAAATTGAGTAATATTTTAAGATAGTGCTGCTAATAAGTTTTACTATTTGTAGTCTTTTTTTTTAATTTTGGGTGATTTTTTTTAAGTTGCACCAAAACCAAAATAGATTTTGCGTATAAAATTTCTGTTTTTCCTTAATTTGTTATTGTTTTCGGCGCTTTTAAAAATTACTGAGAATTTTAAATTTTTACATCTCGAATGCACCAACTAGATTCCTTTTCTCACCAGAGAAGATACTGAAGTTGAAAATCGAAGAATTATTTTACTGCTTATCATATAGGTAAAAAAACACATATCATCGTAAAATCAATATATAGTCATCACTCCACTCAAAATCTAATATACGACAAGTATTTATAATATAATAATACTAAAACATGGTACCTATCTTCATTCTTCGGATCTTCATAATATAAGTTATGTTATTTTTTATGGTATATTTCGAAACGTCTCCATGACATTGAGCTGAAATAAAAATGCAATATAACACTTTTTTTTTCCAGTATACCTAACTATATTAAGTAACAATTCTGATTTGGATAATATTTCAAGGTTAATTATACTATAATATGACATATTATTTACATTATAATCCAAGTACACTGGTCACTGGAACACAACCATTAACAAACTCAGATGGGTTGCAATGGTATATGTTATGTGCCATGTGGTATTGCAATGGTCCCTCAAGGTGGCACGATATTGATTTATATGGTCGTAGAAATATAGATGACTCACTCAAAAGTCTCAAACGTCAGGTTAGAATTACACAAGTACAATATTATAATTTTTAATATTAGGGACCAACATAAGTGCGTAACACATTGACTACAAAATTAGGATACAAATATTGAAATAATAATACTAATCAAAACTAATTTAGAAAAATAACCAAATGTACATATATTCTATAAACTCCCTCTATTGTTAAACATAATGTATCTCCATAGTTTTAAGACCTATTACCACTATTTTGTAATTGTTACAGGCTAATAACCTCAGGAGTTGAAGCCTTATTTAAAAATAGAAAATAAAATAATAATACTAATATTAAAATATTAAATGTATGTGCAAATATTCAATATGGGAGTATTTTAATTTTTAAATAGGTAAGTACAGCTAGGATACGTAGGTGGAGACGCACATGTCGCACAAATCCCGTGCAAAGCGTACTCTTATTGTTGTTCAGCGTACAAACACATTATTAGAAGCCACGGTCGTTATAATTATTTATTCGAAATCAATATGGAAATGTTATCGTTACTTATTGGCAATATTGGCATAGATTCTATTATCTATGCTTATTTGTATTCAAATAACGTTTAGATTATAATTAACTTTACAATAAATATAGCTGTAGATAATATAGTAAAATTCGATAATTATTTTGCATATTTTGTGTTTTTTAAATGCATATTTTAAAATATAAATCCGGTAATCCTATAATGATTATTTTTTTTTTTTTTTAATTTAAATTATTAGAGGCGTTTAGATATTGAATATTTAAATATTCAAAAATATTGATGTGAATTAACTTTTTATAATCATATTTTAAATATTATTCCATGTATTTAATTTATATTAGTTATTAGTTTGTCAGTAAATTCAAACTTTTCAAGGACTGCCTATTCTTTTGTAATATAATTAATGCAAATATAACAAGGTACTCGGATACCTACTGCAGGCTACTCCACAGAAAAAAATATTTCAATAATACATATACGTATACCTACATGCGTAATTAAATAAATAAGGCGATGAATTGGTATGATATGTATCTTTGTAGAATAATTATTTTAGTCAGAAATATATTGTATAATTCAATAAAAATATTGTTTATACAGTACGATCTTAAAAATTATTTATGCATATTGAAATACTCAAAGCTCTTACACTCCGATCATACGACTTCAGGTTACAATTGAGAATAACCTATACTACCTACTTAAACTTTTTATCCTTGATTGAATATTCCAAGTTTATGATATAGAAAGTTTTGTAGTTTTTACTTAGGTACCTAAATATTACCCTTATATAATATTGAATTTTTGTTCGCTAAGTGAAGCACTATGTATGTTACAAGGTTATTAGCTCATAATACCTATTATCTATCTGGTGTACCTATATTATATAGAAACTTAAAGATAATTTTTAATTATGTTTATGATGCATAATAATAGTGTTTATATAGTTTATAATATAGTTACATTTTAATGATTGTAAGATTCATTTTGACAAATTCGACAGTAATATTTTCATTTTATCATTCTAAAAAAATTTGCAACTATTACGATTTCAATAGAGTCTTTCGCTATCTATATTATATTTCTAAATAATTGTTATAATAATCGTGCGTTTATGTGTAAAATATATTTATATTAACGCGATTTGATGAAAAATGATTTGGTTACTTTTTAAAAGCTGCAGTAAAAACAAAAAAAGTAAGACGATACAATCTGATGAAAATTATATGAAGGTAAATAATTCAAAAGAAATTATTAAAGAACTTCTACCCAAATTGGACGTTTTTAACGATTTGGAAGCATGCAATCATAAGGTATTTGTTACGGACAAACATTTCACATATCTTTCGATTTTTGATCCTTACAATGAATTTAAAGAGTTAACTCCAGAAATAACTGTGACTGAACAAGTGGTTATTGAAAATGACATTGTAGTAATAAACGAGAATGGTAATTTAGAAGCTAATACAGAAGATTCTATGGTTATTAGTAATAGATTTAGTAGAGTTACGGAAAAACATTTAAAGATGCTACAATGTCCATTTACTTGGGATTTTGAACCTGAAGTGTGGAATAAAAACATCGTTAATCGAATTGAAAAAAAATATGGCAAATACAATATGAATATTTCCTCAGCCATATTTTCATTTGAAAAGTAAATATATTTTTGATTTTGTTTTTATTTTATAGAATAATCTAGTGTATGCTAAATAGCCCATCAAGTTCAATTTATCTTATTATTTCTTGATATATATATATATATATATATATATATATATATATATGTAATATGTATTAGTTTTAAGAATACAACATTGATCAATGTATTTATTTTTTTAAATGATTTAGCTTACTTATCCGTTTCTAAATTATTAAAATTATATTTCATATTAATCCCTATAAAACCTATATTTTTTTAGTAGATATTATAAGAAATGTTTTGCTTATTAATTGTTACATATTGATAATAATGCAAAAATTAAGTATTTCAGAAATTCAGAGGGAAGTCATTAATTTTTAAAAGTTTGCATTATTTATTATTTTGACTGTTCTGTTTACACTTTGGAGAGTTTATCATTCTCACCTATAGATGATGTGAAAACTGGCAACCATTAAAATTGCGAACAATGTCAACTAGAGTAGTTGTAAAGATTGGCTACAAAATTTTTTTTTTTTWAATTTAATCATCTATAAYGATTTTTGAATTAAATATCACAACATACCACCACCACCACGCCAAATTGTATATCCAGCCCGATWTTTTTAAAATTATTATTCAACTTAAAGCTATAGATACATAGTGACGCTATTTTTATAAAAATTAAAATACAAATTATATACATGGATTTTTTTCAGGTACATAAGCAATCTTATAACCAGTTGTGGACTATTTCGAGCAAACCAAGTAGACAAAGCACACGATAGATTAATAAATATTTGGGAATGGCTTGATAAATTAGACGATAAAAATGAACCGATTTATTTGGCAATTAGAGATGGATTGAAGCATATCGTTATGTCAACATTGTGTCATATATTATTTACTGTGAATAGAGTGAAATGTCAACAGGTAAGCTAAAATAACCAAATATTCATAGAAAAAACATAGCTTATAATTATTATGATGTAGGTAACACGTGCCTAATATTATAAGTATATACTTGAAACGTTTTGTATTCAACAGAGTAATTAGCAATTACAATATTATCATCCACAAAATACCTTAATAAWAAACTATACCTGTACTAATAGTTTTTAATAACAGTATTCAAGTGTTCTCGGAATACCTTTATATTTTATGGTGGTAATTTTTCATACGAGTAGGTATTCGGAGAATACCTATACTTCTGTCTARAATTTTAGCATACATAGAAAAGATACCTACACTATGTTCATTCAAAACTACCTACTTGAGATTAATATTAACGAAATGCATCGATTATACATCCACCAATAAAAAATAAATAAATATTAGATGTAGGAATATTTAAACTAATATTGTATAATATAGACTTTTTTAAATATACTTTTTATAAAGATGGGTAACCTAACCTATATAGCTATATCTACCTAGTATAAACTATTTCAGAATTAAAAAAGATATTAATTTAATGATAATTAATTTTTAACTCTCGRACACATCATAGTCGGAAATATGATGTGGTACCTTAGTAGTAAGTGTAAAGTATACCAACCTAATATCTTGATTTATATGGATCCAATATTTCAGTTTAATCAGTTATTAGTATAATGATATACAGATATACATATTATTTTATTGTATCAATATTGACGATCAGTGGCTCAAGATTTATCATAGCTGCCAATATCGTGTATTACCATCAGCTATCTAGTTGACCTGGAATTATGAAGTACCTATAATTAGGTSAATGGCAGGTTCAGGATCTGTATACAGAGGGAGAACTTGAATTAAAATATTTTTTTAATGCTGATTTTTAATAATTTACGAAAATTTAAGTCATTTTTTTTTTTGTTAACGGAGGGGAGGCTTGCTCCCAGTACTCCTTTCTGGATCCACCCTTGAGTGTGGTATACGTATACCATAAACTATAAAGTACCTACCTAATATTATTACGCATATCTAAATTGAAATTCATATTATATTGTCAATATCGTGAATATGTATATTGTATATATTATGATTATGATATGTGAAATATACACTTTAAAAAAATAATAATATTTTTTATGAATTTGAATTTTTTATTATTTGAATAACACAATACAATACAAACAAAATATTTAAAGAAATAATAAAAATTACCTACACCTTTAAGCTATAGGCTTGTGGCGGTGTAAAGAGTAACAGTGCATAATATATATGATTTAATTAATTAATTTAACAAATAATAACAAACACTGTAAAATTATYAAGAGATACTAAAAGTATACATTTTTCTTATAGTAGACATTGCCTTAGTTCACTAAATAAAAYATTATTTATACATTTTTTTATGTTGATTTTATCATTAAAAATATTATTTTTTTCACATCAATTGGCAAAGTGTTAAAAATGACAGGACCCAGATAATTAATAAACTTTTGACCAAAACTTGTATTAGTAAATAACATTTTAATATTACATAATCTATCTTCCTCACTAGGCTTTCCATCCTCTTTAATAAAGAAAAAGTTTGATTTTTGATGTACAAACATTAGTGCATTATACATAAATATAAACTTTTTAATATTTTTTCGAAAAAAGGTGGGAACACGCGGAACACCTGTAACTTTATTCCTAATATTACAATAGGTCTAATTATTTGTTTCAGTTATTTGAAATGATAACAAGATTTCACAGTTTAAATTCAAAATCAAGAGCTGCAATTAATGCTTTACATGCTGCATTTTGTTTAGAAATTGGTGGCAAATCGTTGCAAAATATTGTTGAGTATGCGAAAACAGCATGTGAGTTAGATCCAGACACACTTCAATGGAAATATTATCTTTCAATAGCTATGACTGCTCAAAGACAATATTTGAATACCAATATATCGTGCCCAACTGAAGATGAGTTTGATTATATACAGCAAGCAATTATCTTATCAAATGAACCAAATCCATATTTTAACTTCCACAGAATGAATTTGATGACGAATAAAATACTCTATCATTATCATCAAGATAATAATTTAAGTAAAAGTAACAAAAATGAAAAYACATTGGAAAAAACCAAAAAAGACTTTCTCAATATAATAGAATTAATCAAGTCAGTGATCAAATCAAAGTTAATCATTATTTTATTTTGATTTTATAAAAATATTTTAAACATCTATATTTTTGATTTATCAGAGATATCATAAGCATGGAACCGGAAGATCCTCATTTAGTAGTTAAATGCGCAAAATCTCTTATGACTCTGCCATATTTAACCCAAGACGAAATGTTCCTCATCAAACAAATAATAACAATAGCAGTAAATATGGCTTTTCATGACTATACGGTGATCAGAGCGATTCAGAAAAGTATTGCAATTTTCAGAGAATTGATCTATACTTATATAGAAATGGTATGAATGATTTATTATTTAAAACTTCAYTATTATAAAACTTCTTTTGGTAATAAGTTAATAAYTAATGACAAATACGTATAGTAGGTTAACTACTATCTTTGCTAAAATTTAAAAAATCACACATTATATCATGTATAAATGTAGGTACTATATAATTATTGTTTTGAAAATGTATGAAGATATCAATGAAGGTTCAATGGTATAAAAATAGATACATGAATCATGGTATATTAATAATTGTTTAAATAGCTGAAAATTTGTCTTAATATTTTGAATGATACGAAAATAATTAAAATTGTAATATTATATTGATTATTTTATGTTTAAATATTAAATTTTGTCGGAATTTAATTTTCAAATGGTTTAAAAAACTTGAGCATATTATTATGTATCTTTGATATTTTTAAATTTCTTTAAGAACAACCAACGARATATTTTTACATTAATTTTCACACCTAAGAGATTTTTAGTCTGAAATTAAAAGCGCTATGAATTTTTAACAACTAAAAAACGTACTTAGGTAATGTACAAAATTATAATATAATRTATTGGTTATTATGTGACAATTTATTTAATTAATTTTAGTATTTTTAAATTTACTTCTCCCCAAWACATTTTCAACGTTTTTGACCGTCTACATTTTGTATCAAAATGTATAGAATAAAAACTAAAACATGTTGAAAATTTAAATTCTAGTTGCCGACTAATTAAAAAAAACAATACTTACAAAAATTATTTTWAAAAAATGCTAATAAAAATATTTGGTGAAAATATCAAATATCTAAGCCTCAAAGGACTGCGATCTGTATTTTTAGTTAAAAATTAAAAAACATATATMCATAGAGTACGAACCTCTGACAAGGTCAAAGCATTATTCTGCTGTARAATAATAATTATCTTCAAAGTTAGAGCAAAACAAAATTACATCATTCTTGATCATCATTCATATAAGTTATGTTCCAATCAGAATTTAAAATGTTAAATGTCATATTAAAATTAATTGAAAACTAAAATTTTGAGTAGAAAAACACAGATTTATCATTGATTCTAATTATATTTTTGCAAATGTTCCGCAATTGTATACCTATCACTAGTCTAAGACTCTAAGATAAAATATCACGTTTAATATGGTATCGTATAATATATATTGATATTAGGCTGCTGTATTAGATTTCAAATTTTAATGCAATATGACGTACTGTAGAAATGTATAGTTAAATAATGTATATAATGTAATTTCTAGAACGAAAATGAAATTCAAATGAAAAATACCAGTACTGAAAATCAGTTAAAAGACGAAGAAAATGACTTATTAGAAAACGACTTAATACTTATTTTGGAAAATTACGAAAAAGGTGGTAAGCCGGTATTAGATTTAATTAATCTATTCGAAAAATATAACGGGAATTGTCGATGGAAAATAATGGCACAAATTTGTTCATACTCGATACTTTTCAAAGAATCTTCAAATCTTCTAGCTGGTGTAGAACAATTCATGATGTTAATTAACGACAAAAAAATTGCTAATAGCAATATTATTACGGTAAGAGATGAATACAATTTTATCGATTGTACCTACTTATTATTCTACTTAGTTTCAATTTAATACGATTTTGTCGCGACACGATATTTAATAATTATGAAAATGACTATTGAGTATTTAATATTCAATATCCATAAGTTGTATTTTTGTGTCCTTCTAATAAATTAAATAACTATACATTTTACTGAAATAAATCTAGTTATAATAGTTCTTCATAAACATAATATTTTTTCAGAAACATAGATCAATATTTATAAAGGATCATTCCAAGGTATTCAATCTTGCAGAATTGGTGTGTAATGAATTAAAATTGGCTATTACTATGGGTCGGGTCGAGAATCAAGAACAAATAGAATTATATTTAGATCAATTAACTAAAATTATGGATGTATGTCAACTCAAACCGAAAAAAGTCAACCCCAATTTTATATCTGAGATAATTGKATGTAGTGAGGAAGAAAACCAGAATGTTTCCAAACTCATTGACGAATTTAACCAAAAAATTGACTTGCAAGATAGCAAACAAATTGTTTTGAAAAATGCTATCAAAAAACGTCGGTTAAAACACACTCCCAACAGTCAACATACTCGAGTACCTAAATCTAAACCGAGAAGAAGGCATCATCGTTATGACTAATTTTATTTAACTATTTTATTTTAAAAGATTAATCAAAATATCTATATAAAATTACTTCTATCATACTTGTATTCGTATTATACATTTAATAACTAGAGTCAGTATAGTTTTTTTTTTTTTTTTTTAAGAAATTAAATATATAAACAAATATTTTATTTCTGATTAAGCCGGTGTATTATTACATAATATGTATAGTAGGTAGATAAAATGATGCATAATTACTCATAAAATTCAATACCTATTTTTAAAAATAATATAGTATTTGTGGAATACTTTTAGCACAGATATTGGACATTATATGTTGACATTAGTACAAAAGTACCCAATCTACCAAAAAACTTACAAAATTCTATTTGTGATCTCAACATAATGCATAAATTAATTACAAAGATGATATTAAATAWATTATTTAAGATTACAAAAACCAAATTTTAAATTATTATAGATATTTATTTGATTGTTTACAATATTCTTCTCATAATGTTCATAAAAATTATTGTGAGATTGTAAATTTAAAAAAGTGGGCTAGTAGATAACGCTGACCAGTGACGTATACATGGTGAGAGGGTGAGATGGCATTTTTTGTTTTTGCTTACATTATGTTGGATGCGCTATAATGTAATATTTTATGATATTATTATATATTTGTATTTGTTAATCGGATATTTATCCTTCTACAATAAACTAACAAGGATGGTAGCCAAGAACATTTGAAATTTAGTGGTGCAAGTTTAAAAACGATCACACTATTTTTACATTTTAAATTAATTTTTAAGCGTAAAATTTGCAATTAATGCCAGATGGTTTCTCGTATTCAATAAACTCTAGCCATCTTCTATTGCCAGTGACGGATTAACATGATATAGGCCAAGTAGACGGGCGCCTTAATTTTAAATCATATAAAGGACGCTGTCTACGACGTCAAGTACRAATGCAAAAAATACAAAGATAACGTTCCTTAGCTATAATTCTGAAATAATAATTTCTTCTTTTGATTTTGGTTATATTGACGCCATTTTATTATGAATTTTATATTTGTCCCATAGAGTAATAATTCTTTATATATCTATGCCATAGAGTTACTCTATATTACTCTAACTTTCGTTGATAAAGGACGATTTTTTTGTTCAACAAATCTGCAATTTCGTTTTCTAGTGTTTGAAGGTTTGAATTYGACTTGACGTGTACTTGTTTTCAATTTTGTGAATTTATTTATATACAGGGTGATTCTTTTAAGTGGGTACACTAATTATCTCAAAATATTTTTTTACATGGTTTTAAGTTGTTAAAAAACCAACGTTTTTAT